ATGGGGAGCTGTTCCAGCAGCCTTATCAGGAACTGGGCAACGATGTACTACAATATGCAACCACCCCACGTCTTTCCCAAGTCAGCGCTAACAACTGGGGACTGGTCATTGCCAAGTGAGAAGCGCTCGGCACAATTACGGGGCTTAATATTAACTGAGTGTCTTTGAAACACAGGGATAATGTTTTTCTGGAGCAGCCCGGTGTTACCGATGGATGGTCGGACAAGGAGCTCACAATTCGCAATATTGCGCAGGAGAATTCCCACATGTGGTTCGGCAATAGCATCACCTGCTTATGGTGGAGCCATATTTGGCTGCACGAGGGGTTCGCGCGTTACTATGAGTACTTTTTGGGACATCAGGTAAGCCCGCTTTCCAAAGATTTGTATTGCTCAATTGTTCTGAAATATATATTTTATTTGCTTCACAGCTTTATCCCGATTATCAGCTCGACCAGCAATTCCTTGTGCAAACTCTACATGAGGCGCTTTTATTCGACTCTCAAAATATCACTCAGCCAATGACCAGCGCTCAAGTGAACATTAATACCCCAGGGGATATCAATTATAAATTTGAGAGAATCGCTTTTGCGAAGGCAGCTAGCGTAATCCGCATGTGGAGCATCTTAATGGGTGAGGAAAACTTTAAAACAGCAATCCGGAACTTCCTTAGGGAATAGTGAGTACAATTTCCTTGGGATACAATAGCCCAACCCCACTAAAATATTTTCTATTAGTCGTTTGAGTACCGTCACACCCCCTATGTTATATGTGCATCTTACGGAGAACTGGCCCAAGGAGCAACATGTCACATTAAATGCACTTTATTACGACTTTAATATAAAAGTGGGCTACCCAAGGATTATAGTGAGCCTCGATGAAGATAACCAAACATTTCGCTTTGAGCAGAAGCGCTTCTTGTTAAACAGCACAGATGGCAGCAATCCCAACTTGCGATACACAACGCCCATCTCATGGACCACAAATCTTGGCCGTAATTTTCAGAATCTAACACCCAACTTTTATTTCGAAAGCCATGAGACTTTTTATAGGGGCCGTATGAACAAACCATTTGACTGGATCATCGTCAATATAAAACAAGCATTCTACTACAGAGTACACTATCAGCCACCACTTCTAGGACGGATTCAAAAAGCCTTGACCAAGGCTGATCACAGTGAAATCCCAGTTGAGAACCGAGCTGCTATCATTGATGATCTGTTCAACTTTGCGCTCGCTGAATTGATTGACTACGTCGAGGTCTTCGAGTTCATGGAGTACATGAGCACGGAAACCGA